GCAAAGGAAGCCGGATTTCAAACGCCGTCTCCCACTTCCTGGTCTGGGACAGTTTGGGAGGAGGAGGACGGGAGGGGCTGTTTGTTTTCTGTGGGGCAGGTGAGGCCGGAAGTTCCCCGGCTGGATGGTGGGGAGGTTGCTTAGCCAGTTATGAGGCGCCGAGGTGGGCCGGGCGGGTTGCTTTTCTGCTGGTTCTTTTTATTTATTTATTGCACCGGGAAGAAACCGATTTGCGAAGAGGCACCAAGAAATTCCGCAACAGCTACTTTGCCCTCCTGCGCGGTGATCGCCTTCGGTGGAAAGCTGTCCGTTCCTTTCTAACCGGGGACAGGTCCTCCAAAGAATCACACAGATTCCCCCTTGGATTAAGGACATATCCAAAGGAATGGCCAGTGAAACTCACACCGTGCTTCCAAATGGCCGCCGAAATGGGCTGAGCCAGAGATGATGAGTTCTTTAATGGTTCACCTACAAAGGCCTTATAAAAAAACAAGAAGCTTTTTTAAAGGGAGTTGGTTGGCCAGGAAAATATGCAGCAGAGAGAAAAACGGGCAGGGAGGATGGACACAAATTATGCACTGGAAATGCAGCTTCAGAATGGTAATTGGTAACAACGTGAACTGCAGAGATCTTTGTAGGTTTGCGTTCAAGGAATATTGTGAAGGAAGGAAAACATCTCTTTTGTCTTCTGGTTTCCGTTCTTCCAATCTCAGAAGTCTGCCTGGGGGATTCTAAGTGACTTCTGCGACTGGATGACCCAAAATTATGACAATCTCATCCTTAGTCCTCATGCCTGGTTTTTCTCTTCCCAGGTTAAATTTTGGGCCATATTATGAGGTAAAGGTAAAAAGTAAAGGTAAAGGTTCCTCTTGACATTTTAGTCAGTTGTGTTCGACTCTAGGGGGCGGTGCTCATCCCCGTTTCCAAGCCGTAGAGCCAGCATTTGCCCGAAGTCAGTTTCCATTGTCACGTGGCCAGCGCGACTTAGACCCGGAATGCTGTTTACCTTCCCACTGAGGTGGTACCTATTTATCTACTCACATTTACATGCTTTCGAACTGCTAGGTTGGCGAGGAGCTGGGACAAAGCGACGGGAGCTCACTCTGTCGCGTGGATTCCATCTTACGACTGCTGGTCTTCTGACCCTGCAGCACACAAAGGCTTCTGCGGTTTAGCCTGCAGCGCCACCACGTCCCATATATTATGAGGTAGGTAAAGGTAAAGGTTCCCTTTGACATTTAGTCCAGTTGCGTCCGACTCTAGGATGCGGTGCTGATCCCCATTTCCAAGCCATAGAGCCAGCGTTTCTCTGAAGACAGTTTTCGTGGCTATATGGCCAGCATGACTAGATATGGAAAGCCATTACCTTCCCACCGAGGTGGTACCTATTTATCTACTTGCATTTTTACATGCTTTCAAACCGCTAGGTTGGCAGGAACTGGGACAGGCGACAGGAGCTCTCTCCATTGCGTGGATTCAATCTTACGACTGCTGGTCTTCTGACCTTGCAGCAAAGAGGCTTCTGCAGTTTAACCCACATTGCCACCACGTCCCTATTATATTATGAGGTACTCAACTCATAATTAAAGATGATAACACATTGGCAATCCAAACCTGGGTTTCCTTCCAAGCTTGATGTCTGAATAATTAAGCTTGCAAAGAAAGTCTGTATTTACTTCCCAGAGATCAATCTTCTGGCATTGTGAGCTAATTTCTGATATGCAGTGGACAGAAAAGATGAGGGCCATGCCACTCCAGTGTCTTTTATTATTTCAGATACTGCTGCTTCCAGATGGAAAGCTTATTGCCTCTGTTTGGCACTGAACCTCAAGCAGACAGCTTTTACACAAGGTAGCAAATCTTACAAGTGGACCTCTGAAGCAACCTCTGAAGATGCCGGCCACAGAGACTGGCGAAACATCAGGAAGAACAACCTTCAGAACATGGCCAAAGAGCCCGAAAAACCCAGAACAACCATTAGATCCTGGCCGTGAAAGCCTTCACGAATATATTGTAGAGCAGGGTTGTCCAACCTTTCATCTTCCCTGGGCCACATGAGAAGATGAAAATTTGGTTTGGGCCGCACATAAATTTGGTTTGGGCTGCATTGGGGGGGCGGCCCTAGCCGTCCTCCACAGCCCTGCTCCAAGCTGCGATCTCAGACAGCAGAGGCTGCCAGCTTCGACTCCGCTGGCTTTATGGGGCCAGGAGGGGTCTACCTATTGACAGGGATGGCACAATGCAGTCACACAGCCCCCCTCTCCCCTCCCACTCCTTCCTTTCTTCCCTCCCCCCCACCCTTGTGATGTGCCCCACCTGCATTCCAGCCACAAGCAGCGGTAGTGTAACTTGAAACTTTGGAATTTCTTTAAAAATAAAAAATTGCACTGGGCCGCATTATGAGCCAACCTGGGCCGCATGCGGCCCTCGGGCCACATGTTGGACAAGCCTGTTGTAGAGAGTTCTGTTATTTCAAACTAAAGCTTAGACCATTGATGCAAAGGGCACATTTACTCAGTGGGTATCACCCTTTGTAGACAGAAACAGAAGTTCCCAACCACAAGCTGACTTGTCATATGAATCACAACACTGCTTTCCAATCAGAACAAGTCCTGCTGGCTGGAAGCCCTGGGATCCTCCTAGGAAAACTTTTTTCAGCTTCAGAAAATTGCTGGATAGCTCAGTGGTTTAGGCATCTGGCTGTGGAGCCAGAGGTTGGGAGTTTGATTCCCCACTGTGCTTCCTTGATACGGGCTGGTCTCCATGATCCATAGGGCCCCTTCTAGCTGTGTAGTTCTAGTCTTGTGTAAGTGCAGAGAATAGCTCTGTATGTGGCAAAGCTGCTGGGGGAAAACACAAGACACCTACCTCTCATATTTCCTGAGTGTTTGCCAGATATATGTCTTGTCTTTCTCCCGAGGAGCTCAACATGATGATGCCCTTGGCTTACATCCTCTTCACTTTATCCTCACAAAAATACTGTCCAGTCACAGATTGCTCCTAGTCCTTTGCTCTACAGAGTTGAAAACATAATCCTTTCTGTCTCTGATCCAGAGTTTTTTTCCGCTTGTCTTCCTTCTGGCAATGCTCTCTAGCTCTTGTTCTGTACACACCTTTTCCTCAAACGAAGTGCCACTGAACACGGTTGGGCATCCTTCTGAATAAAGGTACACACAAGAATTGCACTGTTTCCCAGATAAGCAAATGCAGAAGAAAAAATGAAAAAGTAAAGAAAACATGCTGCTTATACACTGCCCTATATGCTTAAAGCACTCTTTTCCAATCCGCTTCCACAAATATCCTTTCTTGCTGTCTGGTCACATCCTAAATCTCCCAAGTTTCAGCACAGCACTGTAACCCCTGCACTGCCACACATCCATGTCATATGAGGAAAGAATGTTCATAGACTTGCAACATGTCCTTAGAGTAGAACCTTGTGCTTCTCACTCAGCGAGATATGACCAGTTTCATGATGCATGTAGCAGAAAAGTACAGAGCTAGAAAAGTGGTTTGTTTTTGCTTCCTAACATGTTAGTTATGTTCAAAACATCTCCAAATACTGTATAAATGGGAGCCTCCAATGTTTCCAGTAACTCTAAGAGGAGTTGTTATAGTGCATAGAATATGGACTCCAACTCCCATAAGCTCCAGTCAACATAGCCAGTGATGTTGGGAGTTGTAGTGTAACAATATTTGAAAGGCTCCATCCCTAGTTTAAAGAAAGCTTCCATCAGGCAGCAAAATGGCAGTCTCTGTAGAAGTCTTGTTAGTCATAATGCCACATAAGAAACCATAAGACCAGCATGAGGAAGAAAGAGAGTTGTCTTATAGGACCAAAGCTTAGAAACATTATTTTAAAAGTTCTTCAACACATTAGAATTACTCTTTTTTTTCTTCACATAACCCAATATTGTTATTATTATTTTTTGCTCAGTGACAAAATGTAAAGAACTGCATTACCCTTTTACAGCACATTAATAACCTGTTACTTCTTGATAGATTTTTAAATTTTTTAAAAATACAGAACATTGGCCACTAATTTTCGAGAATGATTCCGCTCTAACAGGGTGAAGTAACAAGGAACCACTATTCATTGTACCCCCCCCCCCAAAAAAAAAAAGAATGATTCCGCTCTAACATGGTGAAGTAACAAGGAAACACTATTCATTGTACCCCACCCCCCAAAAAAAAGGAAAGGAAAGGAAAAATAAGGAACATCAAAGAAATTGACATGAGGACTTAAGTTATGCCCAAAGTAAAAGTAAAGCTGTTGGCCATCATTTTTTTTAAAGTAAGGATTAAAAAGTTAAAATGTCATTTTTAATATATTCCTCTTAAGCTCTGGAAAGGGACATGAAACATTTAGAAGAAGCACCCACTCTCCTTGCTCCAAAGTGTTTATATATTGTCCATCCGTAGAATTCATGAGAGTGCAGAGTTTAAATGCTGCTGCCGTTTCCTTGAACTGGCACAGGGGGAGACCATATTGTCAGGGAAAACTCTTTGATTGAATAATTAGGTTGGCAGCCTGTACTCATTCCCTACTCTGTCCTCCAGGTTTTGCTTATTATTGTTATTATTGGGCAAAGCTCCCAGAAACACAAGCTCTACAGCCATAATAATAGCAGCATGCCCTTCTAATACAATTCTGCTTGTTTACTGTGAGAAATA